TCCTGTCTCTCTCTCTGTCTCTGTCTTTATCTCTTTCTGCCTCTCTGTTTCTGTCTCTCCTCTCTCTCTGTCTCTCTGTCTCTGTCTTTGTCTCTCTGTCTCTGTATCTCTCTCTCCCCTTTGGGGCATTATGGTCCACAATAATGAAAGTTCATCCTGTACATCCAGGCTCACCCCTGGCAAGCTCGGGACCCAGCATGGTGCCGGGGCTGGGACCCAGGTGGCCGCATGCAGGCCAGCGCCTCCTGCTGTGCAATCTGACCCTCTCCCCTCTCCCTGTGCTCGTTCCCTGGCAGGCGTGTTTGCTGTTGCCTGAGCAGCACCCAGCACTGGCTTTAGCACGAGGCGGCCGCCCTTCTCCGTCCCCTCCTGGCCTGGGTGGAGGGCGGACGGAAGGAAGTGTGCTGGCCGGGGCTTGGCCAAGCATCACACTCGTGGTGAGTGGGCAGATGAGGTGCCTTCCCTGGCTTTTCCTTCCTTCCGGGGGGTCCTGGTTCTCCGTGACTAACTGAACCCTCTTCCTGAAGCCAACCAACCCCTGTTGCAAAACGCCGTCAGCACAAGCGTTAAAATGATTGTACGGCTGACCCGTGACCTCCCTGCTTGTGTGGTTTGGATTGGTCAGAGAACCAGGGGTTGGACCAGGGGGGCAGGCTCTGAGGAACGGGCCAAGTAGGCCACAAGGTTGGCCAAAAACAGGGGCGGGTTCTCCCGGGCCGAATTTTGACCTTTTAGGTCAAAGTCATGTCTTGCCTGGAGACTCTGTGGTCATAAAGGAGAGACAAAGTCGCACGATTCCTTTGCGCTGAGTGTTGAAATGCAGCCTCTTGTGGAGATCTTCCTTTATGGGCCGTCCCCTTGTGTTCAGTGGCCATCCACAGAAGGTGGGACCCTCCTTGTCCTCTGACAAGTCAGTGTTCAAACTTCTTCCTATGGCTTTTTGGCCCTTCCTGATATGACCCCTGCCAGGCCCCAACTTCCTCGCTTGCTTGACACTTCCCTTTCTTGAAGGTCAGCCTGAGTGGCATCTCTCTCTCTCTCTCTCTCTCTCTCTCTCCTCTCTCTCTCTCATGCGCACACACACACTCACATAATCTCTCTCACACACATACACCCTCATACACATGCATACACATCATCTACCTCACAACTGACACACGGCACATATATTTTCTCTCACAAATTTCTCACTCACACAACTTATCCCTCTCATAACACTCTGACACACACACAATCTCACACACTCCCATATACTCACATTCTCTCACCGACACACTCTCTTCCACACTTTCTTTCCCTCTCTGTGAAACACATTCACATTCTCTCTATTTTCTCACAGACACACACAATCTCTCCCTCCCTCTCTCTCTCTCTCTCTCTCTCACACACACACACACACACAAACATTCTATCACACGCTCTCACACATAATACACCCCCACATGGTCACATTGTCTCACTGGTGCTACCACACACATTTTCTCTATCACCCTCTTTCTCTCTCTTGCTCCCTCTCTTTCTCTCTTTCTCACACACACATTCTCTCACACACTCTCACACATAATAAACCCCCACACTTGGTCACATTGTCTCACAGGCACTATCACGCATTCACTATCTCTCACACACTCTCGTACATTCTCACACACAGTCACATTGTCTCACAGACACTATCACACACACACTGTCTCACACATAGTCACCTCTCTCACAGACAGTCTCTCACATTCTTTCTCTCTCACACACACAGTCACGATCCTTGGATCTGGTCTTCTTACCCGTTTACATGTAGCCTTATTTTATTTTATTCTGTTTATCTCTCTATTTAATTTTGTCATCTTATGATAAACTCTTAGTTAGTACTGTCACTGTCCTCCCATTGTTCATCGATTTGCTCGAGCGGGCCCAGTAACGTCTCCATTGGAGACTTAGTTGTTACTGTGTTTGGCATATCGAATACATCACGGGTAGCTTGCCAGGCTCTGTCGTGCGGGCGAGATACTCTCAGTAGCTTGCCGGGCTCTCCGAGAGGGGCGGAGGAATCGAACTCAGGTCAGTCATATTGGCTGCGTGCAAGGCAAATGCCCTACCTGCTGTGTTATCGTTTGCCTTGCACGTGGCCGACCCGTGTTTGATTCCCAGCATCCTACATGGTCCCCTGAGCAACGCCAGGGGTAACCCCTGTGCATCGCCGGGTGTGACCCAAAAAAGCTAAAAAAAATCAAGCACCCATGAGATAAACTCTTGTAAAGCTAAAATCAGTCGGAAGTGCCTTGCTGGGATCATCACTATATTTTTTGGGGGGAGGGGTGGGGGCATTCCTAGCAATGCTCAGGGGTTACTCCTGGCTCTGTATCGAGGAATTACTCCTGGCGCTTCTCAGGGGACTAGATGGGATGCCTGGAATTGAATACGGGTCAGCTGTGAGCCAGGCAAGTGTCCTGCCCACGGTACTATCTCTCCAGCCCTCAGATGCAGAGTCTTGGGTTAAAACCCAATGAGTTGAGTTACCACCAAGTAGAGGTCCTCTTGGTTTAAGAAATTGGGGTCTCTTGAGCCCACAGAACAGCAGATCCATGGGCCCAGAGCCTTAGTACAGTGGTAAGGCACTTGCCTTGCCGGCCACCAACCCAGCCATCTTGGGGCAGTCTGACTACGGGATGAAGCAGGATTCGAATTTGGCTCTGCGGTCTCCTTCTCGGATGGCTGGACCCCAGGTGAAACATCACCTCAGCCGTAGTCTTGGTGTCTGGCTCCTGTTGGGACCCCACCCCCAAACTTCCAGAACCAGTTGGGGTGCTGGCTTGAATGAAACTCCTGAAACTCCTGCTTCAGGGAAGGCGGGGGAGGGGTGGGTGTTGAGATCACCCAGTGTCACCGGTTTGTGTGTGTGTGTGTGTGTGTGTTTTAATTTTATTTTTTTTATTTGCTTTTTGGGTCATATCCCGCCGATGCTCAGAGGTTATTCCTGGCTCTGCACTCAGGAATCACTCCTGGCGGTGCTTGGGGGACCATATGAGATGCTGGGAATCGAACCCAGGTCCGCGGCGTGCAAGGCAAATGCCCTACCCGCTGTGCTATTGCTCCAGTCCCTGGCTTGTGTTTTTATTTGGTCTGTCCATTTATCCAGAAACAAACGCCCTCAGTTTCCGGGGGAAAAGCAGTCACTGTTCAGTGCCCTTACAGGGAAGAATTTCTCTGAAACCCCCGATTTTCACTCCTCTTCCTCATTCTCTGGCCTCTGTGAGTTCAGATCTGCACCCTGCTGCCCGGAGGCGTACCCAGAATTTCACTGGAAGCAGCCTCCTGGCTCAGGGCTAGTTTGGCTGGTTGCAATCAAATGGGAGTTTAAGAATCTGGAGCATGGAGCAGGGGTGGTAGCACAATGGGGAGGGCGCTTGCCTTGCATGTGGCTGACCCTGGTTTGATTCCCGGCCCCCCCTAGGGCCCCCTGGGCACAGGGGAGTAAGCACACAGCACCGCCAGGAGTAAGCCTTGGGTACAGTTTCCTTCCTTCCTTCCTTCCTTCCTTCCTTCCTTCCTTCCTTCCTTCCTTCCTTCCTTCCTTCCCTCCCTCCCTTCCCTCCTTCCTTCCTTTTCTTCCTTCCTTCCCTCCTTCCTTCTCTTCCTCCCTCCTTCCTGCATTCCCTCCCTCCCTCCTTCCTCCCTTTCTTTCTTTCTTTCTTTCTTTCTTTCTTTCTTTCTTTCTTTCTTTCTTTCTCTCTCTCTCTTTCTTTCTTCTTTTTGGCTCAGATCTAGCAATGCTCAGGGGTTACTCCTGGCTCTGTGCTCAGGAATTACTCCTAGTGGTGCTTGGGGGACCCTATGGGATGCCAGGGATGGGACCCAGGTCAGCTGCGTGCAAGGCAAACATCCTCCCCACTGTCCTATCGCCCTGGGCCACAAGCACCTAGCTTAGAGAAGCCCCTTGGCAGAGCCAGAGAAATAGCACAGGGGTTAAGACGCTTGCCTTGCACACAGCTGACCCAGATTTGAGTTCCTGCACCCCACTGGGTCCCCTGAGCCTGCCAGGAGTGATCCCTGAGCCCAGAGCCAGGAGTCAGCCCTGAGCACTGCCAGGTGTGGCCCCCAAAAGAGAAAAAGAAATCAGCCTGAGGGGCGTTTGGGGAGCATGGCTGTGGTTGGCCCCGAAGCCGGGACTCCTGGCACTCCGAGTCCCTAAGCAGGAGTTTCTGATCTGTGGGCTTCATTTGCTGCTTCCCCACTCCCAGGGGCCCGGGCTGACTCCAGGACCCCCCTCTGTGTCTGCTCCCTGGTGGCCGAGGGCAGCTCTGCCTTCCCGTGTTCATTTCTTTTCGTTTTGCGTTGGGGTCCACACCTGGTGGTGCTCAGGGCTTGCTGCTGGCTCTGAGCCCAGGGATCCTCCTGGAACCCGAGCCGGCAGCGTGCGCTCCCCGTAGCCCTCTCTCCCCGGCTCCTACCTTCTGATATTTTTGGGGGGTGGGGGAGGGCTCCCAAATAATGTTCATCCCCCATCCCCCACCCGCCACCCCCTCCGGCCACCCCCTGTTTGCTGAGACACAGTTCCGTTCCTGGGTCTCACAGTGCCCGGGCAGCTGTCAGTGAGAAAGTATGTGGGGGAGGCTCCCATGTGTCGCTGACCCCTTAGCTCTCGGCCATTGGTTCCCCGTGATCCGGGTGAGGGGGAAACGCAGAGTGGGGGGGGGGACCCCAAACTGGGCGGGGGGAGGGGAAGGGGAGAGAGAAATGCCTTCCCTCAACAAGCTGCCTCAGAATTAGGGGCGTGTGCGGGCAGGTGCTGGAGTGCAGGCAGGGAGGGACCCCCGACCCCCAGGCCTGGTCCCGTTTTGTCCCTCCGTGTGCCCGCGTGGTCCTCCCAGGAGGACATGGACCCCGGAGGGGAGAGGGAAGGCACGGAGTGAAAACGAGAAGCGAAACTCCAGCTCTTGCCCCATCAGCATTCAGTGAGGTATAAGAAATAGGCTTGAACCGGACAGCTGGAGAGAGACAGACGGACAAACCTGCGGATCTGCCGGATTTTGCTGCTCACCCTCAACATGCCCCGGTTCCATCTCCTCCTCTGGCTACTGGTGGAGCTTGGGCGTTTTCACCTGTGTAAGTGCCGGCCGGGGTGTCCCGGTGCCCCCCCCCCAACTCCCACCCCCAGTCTCAGCCCCAGCCGGAGGGACTCGGGAAGCAGTAACGCTGACTTTCTAGGACCCCCTAGACCGGCTTCTTGGGGAGGGGGGTCTTAGCCTTCTGAGACTGGCCTGGCTTGGGGAGGGGGTTGTGAAGCGATTATATGGGGGTCAATGGGAGAGGGAAGCCAGTTCCGTGGACATCCAGAAATCAGGGGTTTGGTGAAGTGGGAAGAGAAACAGCCACACGGATGTTATGACCGGGCAGAGCTGCGGTGGGGGGGGGGGGGGCGTGGGCAGGGGGCTCTTGGAAGAAATTTATTGGAGTCTGGAGCCCCCTTTTTTTTAAGATGGGAAACACACCTGACGGGGCTTGCACTCAGGGGTCACTCCTGGTGGCACTCTGGGATGTGGGGGATCGAACTTGGGTTGGCCGTGTGCAAGGCAAGCGCCCTCCCCGCTGTGCGATCGCTCCGGCCATAGGGGGCTTGGTATTTTTGTGGGGGAGGGGAGGCCATTCCCAGCAGTGCCTGGGGTCCCTTTGGGGTGCCGCAGTTGGATTCCGTGGCTCCCTTTGCAGAGCTTCGCTCCTCTCTCTTGGGTTTTCTTCGACTTTTGGGGGGTCACACCTGATCATTCTCAAGGGTGACTCCTGGCTCTGCACTCAGGAATCACTCCTGGTGGTGCTTGGGGGAGCCTATGGGATGCTGGGATGGAATCCAGTCAGCCACGTGCAAGGCAAAACGCCCTCCCTGCCGGACTATCGTTTTGGCCCCAAAGATGCTAACTCTGATTTCTTTTCTTTTTCTTTGTCTTTTTTTTGGGGGATCACTCCCGGCAATACTCAGGGTTTACTCCTGGCTCTGCACTCAGGAATCACTCCTGGTGGTGCTTGGGGGACCTTATGGGATGCTGGGGATCGAACCTGGGTCGGCCATATGCAAGGCAAGCACTCTCCCTGCTGTGCTATTACTCCAGCCCTGCCAACTCTGGTTTCATCCCCAGCATGGTATCAGCCCCTCTGAGCACTGGCCAAGGGAGCACTCCTGAGCACATAGCCAGGAGGAAACCCCTGAGCACCACTAGGTGTCCCCCCCCCCCCAGCCCCCACCTCCCGGGACTCCATGGCATTTCACCACCCACCGCGGAGCTGACAGGACACACCTGTCCCCTCTTGTCTCTGCAGCTTCCGCCGACCCTGCGACGGTGGTCACTGGGTACCTGGGCCAGGCCGTGAAACTGCCCTGCCAGCACCCGTCCTGGTCCCCACTAAGCAACAGCATGTGCTGGGGCAAGGGCGCGTGTCCCAAATCCAAGTGCAAGAACGAGCTGGTGCACACGGATGGCACACGCATGCTCTCCAGGACCTCCTCCCGCTACAGCCTCCAGGGCCCCATCTCGCGGGGCAACGTGTCCCTGACCATCTCCAACACCCGGGTGAGTGACAGTAGCGTGTACTGCTGCCGCATCGAGGTGCCCGGCTGGTTCAATGACATCAAGAGGAACATCCGGCTGCAGCTGAAGAAGGGTGAGGGGACCCCGGGGTGCAGGGGGAGGCTAGGGACCAAGATTCAGAGGAGCCAGACCTGAGGCAGGGATGCCGGGAGGATTAAGGGGAAAAAAAAAGGTGGGAGCCATAGTCCAGTGGGGAGGGCATTTGCCTTGCACGTGACCAACCTGGGTTTGATCCCAGCATCCCATAGGGTCCCCCGAGCACCGCCAGGAGTAATTCCTGAGTGCAGAGCTGGGAGGAAGCCTTGAGCATCACTGAGTGTGCCCCCCACCAAAAGGAAAAAAAAAGAGAGAGATAGACCAAGAGTCCTGAATGCTTTCCACATACAATATTCATTTTTTAGAATTAAAAGAATAACAGGATTTTCTTTTCAATGACTGTTTCTTTTTGTTAAGGAACATCTAGATAAATTGGTTTCATAATTAGCCACGAAGTGAACCTTAACAAAATCTAAGCAATAGAGAATTTATAGAATATGTTCGCAGAACAAAATTTAATAAGAACAGAAATAAAGAATATGTGTGATAGCACAGCGGGTAGGGTGTTTGCCTTGCACGCAGCCAACATAGCCGACCCGAGTTCGATTCCTCCGCCCCTCTCGGAGAGCCCGGCACGCTATTGAGAGTATCTCGTCCGCACAGAAAAGCCTGGCAAGTTACTCGGGACGTATTTCATATGCCAAACACAGTAACAACAAAGTCTCACGATGGAGACATTACTGGGCCCGCTCAAGCAAATCGATGAACAACGGGAGGACAGTGACAGTGTGACAAAAACATCCTTTTTTTTTTTTTTTTTTTTTTTTTAGTGAAACACCATGAGGTACAGTTGTAGATTTACAAATTTTTGTGCTTGGGTTTCCGTTATATGATTTTTTTTTTTTGGCTTCTTGGATTATACCCGATGATGCTCACAGGTCTGTCATTCCTGACTCTGCACTCAGGAATCACTCCTGGCTGTACTCAGGGGACCCTATGGGATGTCGGGGATCGAACCCTGGTCAGTCGTGTGCAAAGCAAGCACCCTCTCTGCTGTGCTATCACTCTGGCCCCCAACTTGTCCAGAGTCTTAATCCTCCCTGCCCACTCTCGAAACTGTTCTTTCGGGGCTGGAGCGATAGCACAGCAGGTAGGGCACATGACCGACCCATGTTCGATGCCCAGCATCCCATAGGGTCCCCCGAGCACCACCTGGAGTAATTCCTGAGTGCAGAGCCAGGAGGAACCTCTGAGCATTACTGGGTGTGACAAAAAAAAAAAAAAAGAAAAAAGAAAAAAATTGAAACTGTTTTTTTTGTTATTGTTTTGATTTGGGGTCACACCTGGGCTTACTCCCAGCTCAGGAGTCATTCTTAGTGGTGCTCAGAATGGAACCCGAGTCGGCTGTGTGTCCCCCCTCCCCGCACTACTCTCGCTTGGGCCGGGGTTGCCCTATTTTCCCACCAACCACATCGATGGCTCCAAGTTGGCAAAGACGTTCTTTGTGATTGTTGAAAACGGGTCTGCAGCCCCTCACGATCGTCCTTTTCTAGAAGGTTGGCTGACCTCAGTACTTTCTGGGGCCTGTGCTAAGTTCCCTGACACTCGCCTCGAGTCTGACCCCGTAGAGGTCATGGTGATGTGGCACATTTAAGAGAGAGGGGGTGTCTGTTGGGTCATGGGGGGCTGATGACCACTGGACTCAAAGGACCGCTTGTTGGCATAAAATGTATATGGTTAAGGGTAGTAGAGATAAGGACCAGAAGGATTGCTCTATGGCTTGGAAGCCGGCCTCACATGCTGGGGGATCATTGAGGCTGCTCAGATAGAGAAGGGACCACCAAGTAAAGGATACTTGGAGGGTTCGCTCGGGATGGGAGATGCGGGCTGAAAGTAGACTATGGACCAAACATGATGGCCACTTAGTACCTGTATTGCAAACCACAACACCCTAAAGGAGAGAGTAAAAGGGAATGTGTCTGCCACAGAGGTGGCTGGTGGGGGTGGATGGGGTGGGGTGGGGGATGGGGGGAGGAATTACTGGGAACATTGGTGGTGGAGAACGGGGCACTGACGGAGTGTTGGGTACTTGATCATTATATGACTGAAATGTAAGCACGAAAGTTTGTAAGTCTGTAACTGTACCTCACTAAATATATATATATATGTATATATATATATATATATATATATATATATATATATATATGGGGCTGGAGCGATAGCACAGCCGTAGGGCATTTGCCTTGCACGCAGCCAACATGGCCGACCCGAGTTCGATTCCTCTGCTCCTTTCGGAGAGCCCGGCAAGCTACTGAGAAAGCTACTGAGAGTATCTCGTCCGCCTGGCAAGCTACCCGTGACATATTCCATATGCTAAACACAGTAACAAGTCTCATGATGTTACTGGGCCCGCTCGAGCAAATCGATGAACAACGGGAGGACAGTGACAGTGATATATATATATATGTATGTATATATATGTGTATATATATGATGGTTTGTTTTTTTTTTTTTTTGGTTGTTTTTTGGGGGGCACACCCACAGTGCTCAGAGCTTCCTCCTGGCTCTGTGCTCATGGTCCTTCTTTGTGATGCTCAGGGGACCTTGATATGCCAGGAATTGAGTCCAAAACTCTTGGCGGTGCTCACCGGACCCTATGGGAAGCTGGGGATTGAACTGTGGCTGGAGGTGTAGCACAGTGGGAGGGCGCTTACCTTCCATGCGACCGAACCGGGTTCAATTCCCTGGAGCCCGCCAGGAGTGACCCCTGAGTGCAGAGCCAAGAGGAAGTCCTGAGCACTGCTGGGTGAGAACCCCCCCCCAAGCCAAACACACAGAAATGGAAGTTGGCTCTCCTGTGGGCAGAACACTGGCTCAGCCCGTTAAGGTCCCTGCATCCTGGGCCAGTCTGTCCAGCTAGAATGGACGTGCCCTCCTGTGGGCTGTGTCCTGGGCTACTGTAAGCAGCCGAGACCAGGGCAGTGGATGGGGAGAGAGAAAGAGAAGGGGGGGGGGGAGAGAGAGAGAGAGAGAGAGAGAGAGAGAGAGAGAGAGAGAGAGAGAGAGAGAGAGATGAGTCCTGGATGTCCCTGAGGGAGAAGGGAGGCTGGGCCATAGCACAGCAGGGAGGACGCTTGCTTTGAAACGCTGCTGACCCGGGTTCAATCCCTGGTGTCCCCTAGGGCCCCCCGAGCACCGCCAGGAGTGATCCCTGAGTTGGGAGGAAGTTTCAAGTACAGCTGAGTGTGGCCCCAAATCAATGACAAGCAGAAAGCAAAGAGATGTCCCTTGGGGGGGTCTCCAACCCACCCCCCCACACACCACTGCACTTGGTAACCAAGCGTCTCCCCTGCCTGCCGGTTCCAGCCCAGGTGCCACGCACGACCCTCCAGCCGAGGACCACCACGATCACCACGACCAAGGCCTGGACCTCTAGCACACCTCTGCTTTCCACCACCGGGGCGCCCACCCCCGAAATCACCACCACAGCCCCGCCGCAAGCCAGCACGTGGGCCCCCGCCGCGGTGACCACCTGTCCCCTGAACACAGAGAGCTCCCTGCCAGCCACATCCCCGACACTCACCACGGAGCTGGCCATGTTCCCGACCCTTGCCACGGAGCCAGCTACGTCCTTGACCCTTGCTACAGAGCTGACCATGGAGCCGGCCATGGAAGGCACCACCACGTATACCAATGCAGGTTCGTCTGAGGTCCCCTGTGTTGGCTTTACTCTGGTGTGGGAGGGTCCTGGGTACCACGGAGCCAGCCACAGAAGGCACCACGTACACCGATGCAGGGTACCCCAGACAGGAGAGCACCTCCCCCGCCCAAGGTGGGCTTCTTGTCTCGAAGCTCGTGTGCTCTGGGCCCCAACTTCTCAGGTGGATGGGTTAGGGTCCATCCCACCCCCTCCTGGTACCTGGGTCTCCCCTTCCCTTCCAGGCTCTGTCTTCAAATACAGGCACATCCTGGGTGGGGGAGCGGCGTAGGGGAGGGTCTCCACATGAAACTCGGGGAACCCACAGTTCATCCAGGAAGGGGCAGGTGCTGTGTGGGTTCATCACTTGCCTCTCTCTCCTCTCTTTCTTTCTTTTTCTTTCTTTCTTTCTTTCTTCCTTCCTTCCTTCCTTCCTTCCTTTCTTTCTTTCTTTCTTTCTTTCTTTCTTTCTTTCTTTCTTTCTTTCTTTTCTTTCCCTCCCTCTTTCCCCCTTTCTTTCCTCCCTCCTCCTCTCCCTCTCCCTCTTTCTTTTCTTTTCTTTTTTTTCGGGGGGACTTTCACACCTGGCGATGCTCAGGACTTACTCCTGGCTCTGCACTCAGGAATCACTCCTGGTAGGGCTTGGGGGACCCTATAGGGTGCCAGGGATCGAACCTGGCTCGACAGTGTTTCAAAGCAAGCATCCTCCCTACTGTGCTATGACTCAATTTCCTCCCTTAGGGACATCTGGAACTCAGACATCACTATGTACTATCATTCTGGCCTACCTTTCTTTCTTTCTTTCTTTCTTTCTTTCTTTCTTTCTTTCTTTCTTTCTTTCTTTCCCTCTCTTCCTTCCCTCCTTCTTTTTTATTTTTTTTTTGATTTGGGGCCACCTCCAGCGATGTTCAGGACTTACCCCCCTGACTCTGCACGCAGGGATCACTCCTGGCGGGGCTTGGGGGACCCTAAAGGATGCCGGGGATCAAACCCAGGTTGGCCGTGTGCAGGGCAAACGCCCTTCCCACTGTGCTATGGCTCTGGCCCCAACTTGAGTTTCTCGGTTCTGTGGTGATGAGTCCCTTGGGTGCATCTGTGAATTCGGCCTTTTGAAAACGGAGCAAAAGTGGGTTCACGAGGCCCGGTGTATTTCCGGGGTATGGGTCTCTACCTCTTCAGAGGCAGGTCACTACCCTCCCCAAGTCCACTATTCCTACCCCCCGTCCCTCAGTCACCTCCCCACTTCACCTCTCCCCTGGGGACCCCGGTTCTGTGGGAACGGCCACGGGTTGGCGTGGGCTGGGCTTCGTCCCTTCTCTTGCCTTGGGCCCCACATCTGCGTGTGGCCACGTGGCTTCATCTCTCGCTTCTGCACACTCAGCCTTTGCGGGTTCTCCAGTTGCCCAGATGTGGCCATTGACCCAGCAGGGGAGGTCACTCCCGGTCACCCCTGGTTCCCACCCACCTGCTGACACCATCTCAGATGGCAGAGGGGTTTGAAGCAAGGCCCCTGCCTTACTCCCCGACTTTGTTCTTTTTTTTTTTTTTTTTGCTTTTTGGATCACACCTGGCAATGCTCAGGGGTTACTCCTGGCTCATGCACTCAGCAACTACTCCTGGCAGTGCTCAGGGGGGACCATATGGGATGCTGGGATTTGAACCCGGGTCAGCCAGGCAAATGCCCTATCCGTTGTGCTATCGCTCCAGCCCCCACTTTGTTCTTCTTAGTCCCGGTCTCACCTTCTGCCCTGCTGGGTTGCTCATCCCACTGCCCTGCCTCCCCCAGACCCCTGTGCCAGCTCTATCTCTGAGGGGCCACAAGGAGAAAGGACCCTAAGAGGGGCTGCCCACTGTCCCCTTGTACGCCCCACAAACACACACACTCTTTTTTTTTTCTCTTTGGGTCATACCCGGTGATGCGCAGGGGTTCCTCCTGGCTCTGCACTCAGGAATTACTCCTGGCGGTGCTCGGGAGACCCTATGGGATGCCGGGGATCGAACCCAGGTTGGCTGCATGCAAGGCAAATGCCCTCCCGCTGTGCTATCGCTCCAGCCCCCAAACGCACTCTGCAGGGACCAGGCCATGGGACAGCTGAGTTACTGGGGTTACATTTCTATGAACCTTTGCCCTTGCAAATAGCCGTCTTCAAAGGCAGCATTTGGGGCCCAGAGAACTCCACATAGCGCGGGGAGGGTGACTAATTGCCTTGCATGTGGCTGACCCGGTTCCGTCCCCAGCAACCCTTAGAGTTTCCTGAGCTTCACTGGGAATCAGCTCTGAGCACTGCCAGTGTGACCCCACGAATAAAAGGAAAAAAATTAATAAGTAACATTTGAGAGCTGGGGATGAGGTTAAGCACTAGAACCCTAGTGAGTCGCTCTGTGTTGGAGGTCCACCGTCTCTACTTACCTAGAACTGCTGGCACGATCGCAAACTTGCCACAGTCATCAATACAGTCCATGCAGTTACCGGTCATGGATGTACGTAGCATCTCTGAGGTTGGCCAGAGGAAGCGTAAGGGAGGAGCCCCCTACCCCATCCTCCCTCGTGGTGGTCTTGGCCGTCTCACGCTGCCTGCTCTTCTCTTCCCGGAGCAGAGATGGCCCCTACCCCTGGGCGCCCACAGATCCCCTCAGCTGCCACTTCCGGAGCCCCGGGCATGGCCTCTCTCCCCTCCAGGGGTGCGTGCAGGAGGGGGTCAGCGTGTGGGGTTCTGGTCCAAGGACAGATGGGACCCTGGGAAAGGGGGTGTCTGGGTGTCCTGTGTGTCTGACCAGCAGGGAGCAGAGTGGACACACGCCCGCAGCCCTCTGCAGTGGCCCATCTGGGATGTGACTGTCCCCTGGCCCTATGCCGCAGCCTCCCCCGTGAGACCCCCAGGGCTGCTCCCGGCTCTGCAAGGCAGCTGACTCCACGCCTGCCGACCTGCCAGGTGGCGGCCAACCCGGCTCCCAAGGCCCAGACCTGGGGGCCCCAAATACCATGTGATCACATAGAGCCTTGTCCCTGGGGACATGCAGAGGCCTCGGTGAGTGCTTGCCGTGTGGGCGAGTGTGCAAAGGCCTCAGTGCCTGCAGTGAGTGTGCAAAGGCCTCAGTGCCTGCAACAAGTATGCAAAGGCCTCGATGCCTGTAGTGAGTGTGCAAAGGCCTCAGTGCCTGCTGTGTGGGTGTGCAAAGGCTCAGGTATCCCGTGCTGTGTGAACGAGTGTGCAAAGCCGTGCTCTCTGGTGGTAGCAGTGGCAGGGACTCTCGCCGCTGTAGACAGGCCCCCAGGGGCAGGAAGATCAGTATTGGGGGGATCACCTGCACCCACAGGCTTTAGCTGTTCTGTTCTCCCAGCTCACACTGCCGGGCATCTGCCCTCCTGGGCTGACCTGCTGCGTGACCCTGGGGAAGTTACCACACCTCTCTGGCTTTCGTTTCCTCCTGGGGCCGGGGGAGGGGGGACTAATAAAGTCATCGTCCGTGAGCTCCGGAGACCATGGCTCAGCGCCCCGGTGTCTGTTTGGCCAAAGTGGGAAGTGGGGACGGTGAGTCCTGGGGCTCACGGCCAAGCGCTGGGCCACAGAGATGGACGTTCTCTGTTCTCTTCCTCGTCCGTCCCCAGAGTCCCAAACTTCAGTTCTTCCGTCCGGACCGGGGACAGCCACGCTGGACGTGAGCCATGTGTCCCATGGGGCAGGAGGTAAGGTGAGGGCAGGGGAGGGGCAGGAGGTGGGGCTGTATTGGGGGGTCTCTGCCATCTGCCAGCTGGTTTTGGGGTTTGGTGCCTCCCAGGAAAGAGAGGAGGAGGCCCACGTGGCCTGGCCTGGCCCTGCTCCAGAGGCCCCGCACCCCCGCACCCCGCACCCTGCACCCCTGCACCTTGCACCCCTGAACCCCACACCCCTACACCCCTGCACTCCGCACCCCTGCACCCCTGCACCCCACACCCCTGCACCCCTGCACCCCACATCCCTGCATCCCTGCATCCCTGCACCCCACACCCCTGCACCCCTGCACCCCACACCCCTGCACCCCTGCACCCCACATCCCTGCATCCCTGCATCCCTGCACCCCACACTCCTGCACCCCTGCATCCCTGCACCCCCTGCACTTTGCACCCCTGCACCCCACACCCCTACACCCCTGCACTTCGCACTCCTGTACCCTGCATCTTGCACCCCTGCGCCCCGCACCCCTGCATCCCTCACCCCTGCACCCCTGCACCCTGCACCCCTGTACCCTGCATCCTGCACCCCTGCACCCCGCACCCCTGCACCTCTGCACCCCTACACCCCGCATTCCGCACTCCTGTACCCTGCGCCCCCCACCCCTGCATCCCTCACCCCTGTACCCCGCACCCCTGTACCATGCATCCTGCACCCCTGCACCCCACACCCCTGCATCCCGCACCCCTGCACTCCGCACCCCTGCACTCCTGCACCTCGCACCCCTGCACCCCCACACTACTGCACCCCTGTACCCTGTCTGCTCTGCAGGGCTCTGCCAATCTGTCCTGTGTGAATTGCTTTGGCCTGTGTATCTGGAAAGGAACTGCGGTTTTTGTTGAGTTCACCCCAGTTCACTTGAGTTATTTGGGTTTTGTTTACTTGTTTTGGGGGTCACACCCAGCAGTGTTCAGGCCCGAGTCCTGGCGGTGCTCAGGATCTCCTATAGGACACCGGGGATGGAACCCAGGTCAGCTGCATGCAAGGCAAGCACCCTCCCCACTGGACTATCGCTCCGGCCCCTCCAGTGTTTGTTGAATGAGGGGTACCCAGGAAAGGTGTCCTGTTTACAGCCCCTCAGGAGAGCCGGTAGTGGCTTGGCCTCCCGCGTCTGCTTCCCACACACTCCGGCCTCATTTCACTTGTCTGGTTGGAGACAAAAATCTCAGGGAGCCCCACCCCCATCACGCCCTCCCCTCCCAAGCAGGATTCCTTGGTGTGGTGCCCCCACACTCATCCCCCAAGCTGAGATTCTGGAAGGCGAGACCCTTCACTCCATACCCCTGAGCATCCTGAGACCAGACTTGGAAAATTCTCACTGGGGGAGGTGGGGAGTATCATTTTATTTTTGGGTCACACCCGGCAATGCACAGGGGTTACTCCTGGCTCTGCAATCAGAAATTACTCGGCACCACTCAGGCAGTGCTTGGGGGAACCCTATGGAATGCTGGGAATCGAACCCAGGTTGGCCACGTGCAAGGCAAACACCCTCCCCGCCGTGCTAGCGCTCCAGCCTAAGTATCAATTTTTTCATGGGGGTGAAGGGTGTCCGCACACATTAGAATCGTGGTCGCTGCTAACAGTCAAGGCTGGGTGGACTGGATCGTGTTGGACACTGTCCATCATGGGGTAGGGGGGTTCCTTGGGGTGTGGGGTATCAGGGTCAGGGTCACCCAGGCCCCGCAGCACTGGGGCGTGAGTGAACTTAGGCGACCGGACTAGAGACTCGGGGCCCTTCCTAGTCTGCCCCAACTCCCAGACTGAGCGTGACCCCACGGGGACCCCCATTTGCCGAGAGACGCCAAGCCTGGGGTGAGCTGACTTGAGAGCTCTCGCTACCCAGGGGCACCTGGCAGCATTTTCCTCCCAAGAAACACCTTCAGGCCTCTAGAAAAATCTCATCTTTAGGGGCGGCAGCCTGGGAAATGGTGTGGGAAGAACGTGGCTCCTGTCAAGATTGTCCCGTGTTGTTGCGTTTTCGTTTCTCCTAAGATACACCCGAGATGTCCATAGCCAGCGAGGAACGGGAAGTGAAAGGGCCCCCAGCCATCCCCTAGCTTGTTCCCAGGGCCCCCCTGGGGGGTGCCGTGTCCTGAGGTCACTCGCACACAGCACCACAAACACAAGCGGCTAGTAACAACCCAGATGGGTGATTTGCTCAGCCTGAGGCCCAGCTCCGTAAAAAAATACACACACACACTCACACCCTGAGCTGTACCACCTCACACACACACAGACACACACACATACACACACCCTGAGCTGTACCACCTCACACACACATACACATACATCCTGAGCTATACCACCTCACACACACACACCTGAGCTGTGCCACCTCTCTCTCTCTCACACACACATACAAACACACACCCCGTGAGCTGTACCACCACACACACACAGACACACGCACACCCTGAGCTGTACCTCTACACACACACACCCTGATATGTACCACCTCACACACACACACACACACACACCCTGAGATGTACCACCACACACACACAGACACACACACACACACCCTGAGCTGTACCACCTCACGCACACACACCCTGAGCTGTACCACCTCACACACATACCCCGAGCTGTACCACCACACACACACACACATACACACACCCTGAACTGTACCACCTTACACACACACACATACACACACACTGAGCTGCACCACCACACACACACAAACATACCCTGAGCTGTACCACCTCACACACACACACCCTGAGCTGTGCCACCTCACACACACACCCTGAGATGTACCACCTCACACACATACATACACACACTGAGCTGTACCACCACACACACACACATACACACACCCTGAGCAGTACCACCTCACACACACACATACACACACACTGAGCTGCACCGCACATACACACACACACCCAGAGCTGTACCACCTCACACACACATCCTGAGCTGTACCACCTCACACACACACACCCTGAGCTGTGCCATCACACACACACACACACCCTGAGTTGTACCACCTCACACACACATACACACACCCTGAGCTGTGCCACCACACACACACACATACACACACCCTGAGCAGTACTACCTCACACACATACACACACACACACTGAGCTGCACCACACATACACACACATACCCTGAGCTGTGCCACCTCACCACACACACACACACCCTGAGCTGTACCACCTCACACACACACCCTGAGCTGTACCACCTCACACACACACACCCTGAGCTGTGCCATCACACACTCACACACACCCTGAGCTGTACCACCTCACACACACACACATACACACACCCTGAGCTGTGCCACCACACACACACACACATACACACACCCTGAGCAGTACTACCTCACACACATACACACACACACACACACTGAGCTGCACCACACATACACACACACACCCTGAGCTGTGCCACCTCACGCACACACACACACACCCTGAGCTGTACCACCTCACACACACACACCCTGAGCTGTACCACCTCACACACATACCCCGAGCTGTACCACCTCACACACACACATACACACACCCTGAGCTGTACCACCTCACACACACATACACACACCCTGAGCTGTACCACCTCACACACATACCCCGAGCTGTACCACCTCACACACACACATACACACACCCTGAGCTGTACCACCTCACGCACACATACACACACACTGAGCTGCACCACCACACACACACCCTGAGCTGTACCACTTCACACACACACACATCCTGAGCTGTACCACTTCACACATACACACATCCTGAGCTGTACCACTTCACACATACACACCCTGAGCTGTACCACCTCACACACACACATACACACACCCTGAGCAGTACCACCTCACACACACACATGCACACACACTGAGCTGCACCACACATACACACACACCCTGAGCTGTACCACCTCACACACACCCTGAGCTGTACCACTACACACACATACGCACCCTGAGCTGTACCACCTCACACACATACACACACCCTGAGCTGTGCTACCTCACACACACACACACACACACTGAGCTGTGCCACCTCACGCACACACACCCTGAGCTGTACCACCTCACACACACACACACACCCTGAGTTGTACCACACACACACAGATACACACACTCTGAGTTGTACCACCACACACACACACAGACACACAGATACACACATCCTGAGCTATACCACCTCCCCCAGGTCATCTGCTCTGCATGGCTCCTGTCACCTTCTCTCCCTGTGACCGGCAGCAGCTGACAACTCTGCAGGACTTCCTTCTTGGTGCTCTCATCCTCCCACCTGGCCTTTGTCACCCCCTCAGGGGGTCTGTCCCCACTGGGTGGTGCATTACCCTGTCCCCAGCTCCAGACTCAGTCCCCAACCCAGCGTCTCACTTGCTAATTGCATAGTCCGAAGACGAAGCATGTGATTGTGACCAGGGCCATAGTTCAGCTGGGAGGGTGCTGGCCTTGCATGCAGACCACCCAGGTTCGACCCCCGGCACCCCATAGGGTTCCCTGAGCCGGTCAGCAGTGATGCCTGAGCTCATGGCATGGTCAAAGGGAATCCAGGACAACCCCTAGACTGCCTGCGGGCCACTGCTGGGTGTGGCCCCTAAATAAACAAATCAGAGCCAGCCTCTGAAATTCCCTGCAGATTTTTCAATCCCTTATTTCCGAGGGGCAACAAATCATAGAGGGAAATATGTGTATATTTCTCTCTCTCTCTCTCTCTCTCTCTCTCTCTATATATATATATATATATATATATATATATATATATACCTCTCAGAGAGCCCAGCAAGCTACCGAGAGTACCCCACCCGCACGGCAGAGCCTGGCAAGCTCCCTGTGGCATATTCAATATGCCAAAACCAGTAACAATAACGGGTCTCATTCCCCTGACCCTGAAGGAGTCTCCAATACGGCACCATTGGGAAGGATGAGTAAGGAGAGGCTGCAAAAAAAATCTCAGGGCTGGGACAAATGAAGACGTGACTGGTGCCCTTTAGAGTAAATCGATGAACAATGGGATGACAGTGATACAGGAATCTCCAAGGAGAAAAGTAATTAACCCTTTTATTTCCCGTTTCAGCCTCAGAGACCTCGCAGGGCCCAGCAGGAGTGGAGGAGGTGAGCATGTTTGGGCTCCAGGACACCCCAGGGGAGGTTTTGCAGAGAGTGGGGGAGGGGGAGGGGGCCACTGTGTGTCCAGGCAAGGGACAGTGGGCAGCCAGCTCTGCCTTGCCCTAGAGGCAGCTGCTCCAGAAAGCAAAAGGCAGGAAACTCTGGTCTGGCCCCATGCAGGACCAGGATGTAGCATTTCTGTGTGCCTCCTGGGGGGGGGGGGGGCAGGGGGCTTTGGCAGAGCCCACGCGGTCCCCAGCTTGGACTCTGGGTTTTTGAGGGTCCCCCCTCAGGTCCCCCCAGCGAGGGGACCGGCAGCAGCGATTATGCCAAAGAAGGGCCCCCAGTCCCGCCTCCCCCCTCCCTTCCGCTTTAGAACAGGGACTGTCCCTCATGATTTTTTTGTGGTGGTTTTGTTTTGGGGCCACATCCGGCGATGCTCAGGGCTTCCTCTTGGCTCTGCACTCAGAGATCACTCCTGGTAGTGCTTGGGGCAACCCTATGGGATGCTGGGGATCGAACCCGGGTCTGCAGCAGTGCAAGGCAAGTGCCCTCTGCGCTGGACTATTATTGCTCTGACCCCCAGTCCCTGTCGGTTTGGAAGCTGAAAAAGCTGACTTGCAATCCCGTTGCTGACACCTCCCCACATCCCCCAGAAATTAAGGCTTGTCTGTACAACTATATTCTCCACGCTCGGGTGTCGGGAAGTGTGTGGGGTGCGGTGAGCACAAGCCGGGGAAACCCGCTTGCACAGAACAAACAGGGCTGGAGCACAGGTAGAGGCTGCCTGGAGCCCATAGCACAGAGGGGAGGGTGCTGGTCTTGCAGACCGCAGACCCGGGTTCGATCCCCAGCCCCCCATCAAGTCCCCTGAGCCCCGACAGGAGTAATTCCTGAGTGCAGAGCCAGGAGTCAGCCCTGAGCATCTCTGTAGCAGGGGTCCCCCACCCCCACCCCCAGGTCCCAGCCTGGGGCAAACGCCTTACCCGCACTTACCCATCAGTGTGTGTGACCCTCCTTCCCCAAACAAAACAACCCCCCCCCAAAAAAAGGGGAAGTGCAGAGGTTAAGGTGCTTGCCTTGCACATAGCCAACCTTGATTTGAGCCCACACACAAGCTTCCCCCACACACACCCCACCAGGAGTGAACCCTGAGCACTGAGTCAGGAGTCAGCCCCCAGCACAGTCAGGAGTGGCCCTCAAACCAAAAATTAAAATAAAATAAAATATAATATAATAAAAGGTCGGCACAGCCAGCTTGTTTAAAAAGTGTGTTTCGCCCAGGGCCCAAGTATTTAGTAAGGGAAGTGATTTTTGTGGCCTGCCACTTCTGCAAATCTCATCGCTGGGCGGCTTCCCAGAGGGGCAGGGGCCTCCTGGTTCCTTCCCTGTCCCCTGCAGGGTCACACGCTGATGTTAGCAGCCCTGGAAGCTCCGAGGTGCCCAGGAGAGATGGCAGATGAGATACTGGAGATTTGGTTCCATCTTCAACTTTCTCTCATTTCTTTTCTAAAGGAAAGGACGTTCAGGGGGCCCAGGCCAGGATGTGAGTTGTGGTAGGGCAGAGGATGGGTACTCACCTCCAGCCTACACCCCAGGGCTCAGATGTTGGAAAACTCAGGGTTTCTAAATTTGGGTCAGTGGGGTAGTGCTGCAGGCTTTTATTTGTTTATTTATTTAAATATTTATTTATTTTTTATTTTTGGGTCAGACCCAGCGATGCACAGGGGTTCCTCCTGGCTGTGCACTCAGGAATTACTTCTGGCGGTGCTCAGGGGACCCTATGGGATGCTGGGAATCGAACCCGGGTTGGCCACGTGCAAGGCAAATGCCCTATGGCTCCAGCCCCTGCTGCAGGCTTGTAGATCTGTGTTTAAATTCTGGTCTGTGAGAGGTGTGAGAGGGTTGGAGTGATAGCACAGCGGGAAGGGCATTTGCCTTGCACGTGGCCAACCCAGGTTTGATTCCCAGCATCCCATAGGGTCCCCCGAGCACCGCCAGAAGTGATCCCTGAGCACAGAGCCAGGAGGAAGCCCTGAGCACCACCAAGGCTGCCTCCTCCCCCCAAAAATCGAGAGTCTGGAGAGATAGGACAGTGGGTAGGACGCTCACTGGGCAGACAGCAACCCGAGTTCAATCCCTGACACCCCATAGGATCTCTTGAGCCCTGCCAGGAGTGGTCCCTGAGCACAGAGCCAGGAGTCAGCCCTGAGCACCACCAGGAGTCATCCCCACCCCCCAGAATAACAAATCTGGATCCGAGCAATAGTCCAGCTGGGAGGGCGTTTGCCTTGCGCAGGGCTGATCCAGGTTTGGTCCCCGGCACCCCATAGGGTCTCCCAACCTCCACAAGGAGTCATTCCTGAGCACAAAGCCAGGAGTCAGCCATGAGCACTGCTAGGGGTAGTAAATTTAAATTTATTAAGTATCTCGCCCACACGGCAAAGCCTGGCAAGCTCCCCGTGGTGTATTCGATATGCCAAACACAGTAACAAGTCTCATGATGTTACTGGGCCCGCTTGAGCAAATCGATGAACAACGGGAGGACAGTGCTACAGTGCAGAATAAATTTAAACAGGGGCTGGAGTGATAGCACAGCGGGTAGGGCGTTTGCCTTGCACGCGGCCGACCCGGGTTCGATTCCCAGCATTCCATATGAGCACCGCCAGGAGTAATTCCTGAGTGCAGAACCAGGAGGAACCACTGTGTGATGCCGGGTGTGACCCAAAAAGCAAACAACAACAACAACAACAACAACTAAAGAAACTTAAAGAAATCAATAAATTCTGGTTTGTTAGGCAGGCCATGCTTTGGTTCGGAGGCACACAGGGTGGGCGAGGCAGGGGCAGTGAGGGGCTGCCGGGGTGCCGGCTGGGCACTGAGGAGACCCTCTCCTCCCCGCCCTGTCACCAGATCCAAATGACAGACCACCGTGATCTGCTGATGGTCATCGTCCCCTCTGTGGGCCTGCTGCTCTTCCTGATCTTGCTCGTCGTTCTCCTTCGAGGTAAGGAGGCTGGGACCTGGGGGTGGGGGTGGGGGGCCCCTGCTACAGAGACTCCCCACCCCCACTGAGGGGATGGGTGCCACTTCCTATCTGTTCGCGCGGTGCCCTCACGACTCCGTGCCCAGGTAGGGGGCTCGGCCTGTCCGGGACGGGGGAGGGGGACCCAGCCCCATCTCTACAAAAGGTTGTTTTTGTTTTGGGCCACACCCAGAGAAGTTACTCCTGGCTCTGTGCTCAGGAATCACTCCTAGAGGTACTCAGGGGAGGGGCTATATGGGATGCTGGGGATCGAACCCGGGACGGCCGAGTGCAAGGCAAACGCCCTCCTTGCTGTGCTAGAGAGGCTCAGGCTCTGGCCCCTCTATGAGATTCTGAGATTCCGGGGTGCTCTTACAGCAGATGGGTGGGGGGTGATAAACAAAGGAAGGGAGGGGGTCATTTTGTGGGCAGGGGGTCAGGGGTCTTGTTCTTTTTTTTTTCCTTTTTGGGTCACACCCAGAAATGCTCAGGGGTTCCTCCTGGCTCTGCACTCAGGAATCACTCCTGGCAGTGCTCAGGGGACCACATGGGATGCCGGGGATCGAACCCGGGTCGGCTGTGTGCAAGGCAAACGCCCTACCCGCTGTGCTATCGCTCCAGCCCCTCCGGGGTCTTGTTCTGAGCCGGCTCTCTGGTGTTGCTCTGGGTATATCTGAACCTCAGACTTGCCTCCAACAGCAAAGGGCCTGGCCTAGCCTCCTTCCCCCGTCAAGAGGACCCCGGGAAGCAATCCCACCCTAAACCCTCCCTGAAGCAAGCGTTCTCCGCCCCCCGACACCTGCAGGCTCAGACCCTGAGCCCTGAGCAGAAGAACTTGCATATTCTCAACTGCGTTTGTTTGTTTTGTTTTTGGACCACCCTGACCTTCCTCCTGGCTCTGTACTCACTCAGGGATCACTCCTGGCGGGACTCGGAGGGGAGGGGTCCTATGGGATGCCGGGGACTCATGGAGGGCAAGTGTCCTTCCTGCTGTACCTCCAGCTGCTAATTATTATTATTATTATTATTATTATTATTATTATTATTATTATTATTTGGAGGCAGGAGGCTTGATTTTATCTCATAGCCAGTCCTAGGATTGGAGCGATAGCACCGTGGGTAAGGCGTTTGCCTTGCACGCAGCCGACCTGGCCGACCCAGGTTCGATTCTTCCACCCCTCTCGGAGAGCCCAGCAAGCTACCAAGAGTATCTCGCCTGCATGGCAAAGCCTGGCAAGCTCCCCGTGGCGTATTTGATATGCCAAACACAGTAACAACAAAGTCTCACAATGGAGACGTTACTGGCTTGATCAAATTGATGACAACGGGAGGACAGTGACAGTGACAGCTAGTCCCAGAAAGGAGTGCTGAGCACACATCCCCAAGGAGCCATAGGGCTGCAGCCTGGGTGGGAAAGCCCCTCCGAGGCCCCCTCCCTCCACCCAGTGCCCTATTGGGCATCCCCAAGACCCGTCCCGGATCCTTCTCCAAGTGGCGCCCGCCTTCCACTGTCAGCTGGAGGAAATCACAGGGAGCCTTTGGAACTCTGAGTGGGCCCGGAGCCCAGCTGGAATCAGCCCCCCCTGACCACCAGCCTCCCCCCTCCCCCGGCCTGCCCCAGCCACCAGGCATGTCACTGCAGAGCAGAGACACTTCCAGGGGCCGAGGGAAAGTCTCCCCAGGACTCTCCAATCCTCCCCCAATCCCATCTCCCAGAACCCCACCTGGACACCCTCCACCCCGGCACCCCTCCCCTCCCACAAACACACACCTGCTCAGCACCTGGCTTTGTTTCTGCAGGGAAAATCACAGAGAACGTCTGCTTCCAGAAACACAGCAGGTGACTGGAGGATGGGGGTCTGGGGGCTCCCCCGGTTCTGGGCGGACAAGAGGGGGGGTCTGGCTTGGAGAACCTCATGCCCATGTGCAGGCCAGGCTTGGATGATGCACTTGGCCAGCAGGGAGGGGGCACTTTAGTTTTAGGGATTATTATTATTATTATTAATTATTATAGCACAGCGGGTAGGGTATTTGCCTTGCATGTGGCCGACCCAGGTTCGATTCCTCCGTCCCTCTTGGAGAGCCCGGCAAGCTACTGAGAGTATCCTGCCTGCATGGCAGAGCCTGGCAAGCTCCCTGTGGCGTATTCGAGATGCCAAAAACAGTCACAACAAGTCTCAAAATGGAGACATTATTGGTGCCTGCTCAAGCAAATCAATGAACAATGGGACAACAGTGCTACAGTGCTATTATTATTATTATTATTATTATTATTATTATTATTTGTTTTTTGGGGTCACACCCAGTGATGCTCGGGGGTTACTCCTGGCTCTGCACTCAGGAATTACTCCTGCTGGTGCTCAGGGGACCCTATGGGATGCTGGGAATCGAACCCAGGTCAGCCACATGCAAGACAAATGCCCTGCCCACTGTGCTATTGCTCTGGCCCCCGGAGGTGCCATTTAACAGAAGGAGAGAGGAGAGAGCAGCGGCCCAGGGAAGGGGTCCACCCGCCTTCCCCCCCGACACACACACACACACTCATCCGCCATGGGGTGACCTCCTCTGAGGATAGGGACGCTCCTTGTAAAGGAACTGGGGGCTCTGTCCTGCTCTCTAACTTAGGGGAAAGAAATGAAATGACAGGACTGGCTTTATTTTTGTTTGGGGGCCACTTCCGGCCATGCTCAGGGGTTACTCCTGGCTCTGCACGCAGGGATCGCTCCTGGTGGTGCTCGGAGGAACCTGTGGGATGCCGAGGATCAACCCCAGGCCAGCCCCCACTCCTTGTCCCAGGAAATGAAGGGCTTTGGGCTGAACCCAGGCCTGGTGCTCACCCAACATTTGCACCAACCCCCCACCCCACCACACCACCCAGCCACCTACACTGTCTGTTCCCAGATCTGTTAAGGGGCTCCTTTCATTTTCATTTCATTTCATCATCCTGTTATTCGTCGATTGCCTCGAGCAGGCCCCAGTAACGTCTCTTTCATCCTAGCCCTGAGATTATATTCAAGGCTCTTTAGGAGAATGAGACCCATCATTGTTACTGGTATTTGGCATATTTGGTGCACCATGGGGAGTTTGCCAGACTCTACCCTGTGGGCAGGCTATATTCGATAGCCTGCAAGTTTGTCCTACTTTGGACAAGGGGCTCCTTGTTAAAAAAAAAAAAAACTCAGAAATACCTTCTTCATCCTCCCTGCCTCAGTTTCCCCTCTGAGTCCACAAGGCCCCCTCCGAGCACTGCCTCAGTGCTTCTCTTTCCAGGCTGGAGGAGAGCAAGCGGGGCCTCAACGGCATGCAGCGCAGAGGGGAGGATGAGGATGAGGATGGCTTATTCACACTCTGAAGACCTGCTTTGTCCGGGGGAAGTCCCCACCCCACCCTGTGTCAGGTCCCCTGGGGCAGGACCTGGAGGGGGTGGGAAGGACTTGAGAGACTGCTCCTTCTCTGCGCTGGGCTCCAGTCCCCTCCATTGTGTGCCTGCCGGGTCGTCTTCCCCCTGGTGATCCTTGAATGCCTCCCTGAACGGGGAGCTCACTCCCACTTCACACCCTCCTGACACCTGGAATCTGAGCCCCGCCATATCTCACCGATGAGATATTTTGCGTTGGATGCCAGGGGCAGACACAGAACCTGGTTTTCTGACCCATGTGCACCCCAGTCGCTCAAATGAGACCTTGTTCCGGGTTCCGGTTTCTGATTTCTCCTCCACCCTCATCTGCGTTTGCGTCTTTTGGAGTCCCGTGCCCTGGGCCCCTGGGCTGTGTCGCAGGGGCAGGCAGCCCCACCCTCAGTGATGCAGAGACACCCCCCTGCCCGCCCTCACCGACTCTTCACTCCCCCTCTTAAGACCCCGAAGTCTTCTGATTGTCTCTGTTTCTTATTTGAGGGTCTTGACAGGCGTTCACGGGGTGCGTGCGAATTCTCTCCTGGGGAGCTGGCATGAACCCCAGAGCGGGCGCCAGGCTGGTAAGGGGGTCCCCACTCCTCTGGACAGAAGTCAGAGCACCCCACTTCTAGAGAGCATCAGAGTCACTTCAGATGGAGGTGAAGTGACTGGGAGAGGTATCACACCTACGCCGCACCCCTAGGGGATGCCCCCTCCCCCACCGTGTGGACAGAAGGGTGGGAAGGTCATGAGAGGGACGGGAGGTGGGGGAGGCCTGAGCATGGGTAAGTCACAGGGGGGACTGGCAGAGTGTCACCGCAATAAAGCCCGTCTCTCACCAGCTGGTCTGGGTCAGAGCAGGAAACAACCGTCTACCCCCTCGGTTTGTTTGCTAGATTACTTCACAGGCTCGGACCAACCCCAACAGTTGGTTAGAGGAGGAAATGGGGCATCACTCTCACCCCGGTGTGGACCTGGGAAAAAGGAAGCAGGTTACAAATGGGGGTCTTATTAACAAATAAAACATGTCGATCGGCAGGAGAAAGCAAGTCAGTCGCAGCTGAAGCTTCATCGGCCCCTCTTGACAGCTGACCCGGGGCAGCTTTGGTCCTGTTGTGGTCCATCCCGTCCATCCCCTGCTCTGGGCCTGGTCCTATGCCCGGAAGTGAAGATGCACAGTGAGAAAATGTCCTTCTGGTCTGTTCCCGTCAAAGCGAACGCCAGCACACTTTCTAACTTGTATTTTTTTTTTTTTTACTTTTTTTGGGGGGGGTCACACCCAGCAATGCTCAGGGGTCACTCTTGGCTCTGCACTCAGAAATCACTCCTGGCGGTGCTTGGGGGACCATATGGGATGCTGGAGATTGAACCCAGGTCGGCTGCGTGCAAGGCAAACGCCCTACCCGCTGTGCTATCGCTCCGGCCCCTCTAACTTGTATTTTAATGACTGAAAATGAGATTAAAAATAGCCCCCACCCTTTTTCTTAGGTCCTGTCCAAATTATGAACTAGTGTTTCTTCATTGTAGAAACCATTCTTTACAGTGAAAAGAAAAATAAAACCCCGAGTTGGATACAGACCTCTATGTATTTTATTCCATGCTGCGGTTAAGCCAAATCAAAAGCTGTGAGAATAAAAAAAAAAAAAAAGAGTTCTCCAGGAAGTGTGTGGATGGGCAAGTGGTTTATTCACAGGTTGTAGTTTCTGTTTTGCAAAACTACCAAACTTTACAAAAAATGTCACCCTGCATGACATCAGATGTTATTCATAACCAGCAATAGAAAACGAATTTTCTACGGTTGCTTTTCGGCAGATCTGAGTGTTGGGGTAAAGTCCCAAATAATAATGGTGAGTCTGGTGTCAAAATATTGAATGTAATCAAAGTAGAGAGAGAGAGTAATGTGGAAATCATCTGCCCCACAGGTAGGGGGAGGGTGTGGGATGGGGGTATACTGGGGTTCTTGTGGTGGAAAACGGGCACTGGTGAAGGAACGGGTGTTTCATCGTATGACTGAGACTTCAGCTTTGTAACTGCTCTTACTGTGATTCAATAAATAAAATTATAAAAAGGGGGGGGAGAATGTCACCCTTTCTTCTCCTTGTCATTGAGTCCTGAATTTTTTTTTTTAAGTTTTTTTGTTGCATTTTAGATGACAGTGCAAGTGTTTGGTCGACTTTTCATATGCGTATAAAAATCCTGTTAGGGGGCTGGAGCAATAGCACAGCAGGTAGGGTGTTTGCCTTGCACGCGGCCGACCCGGGTTCGATTCCCAGTATCCCATATTGTCCCCTGAGCACTGCCAGGGGTAATTCCTGAGCCAGGAGTAACCCCTGTGCATCGCCAGGTGTGACCCAAAAAGAAAAAAAAATTCTGTTCATTGTTTACTATGGACATTGAGAAGTAAGCAAAGGAATTTGTATTGCTTGATAAACTATGCATTCGTAAATTTAAAAAGATTTCTTTACCCCAATTTAAAGTAATGGACCAATAAAGATATAAAAGATGCTTTCTTTTAAAAAAATAAAATAAAGCCTGTCTCCAGGGAACAGCCTCTGTGACTCCCTCCACTTTTTGTTTGTTTGTTTTGGGGCCACATCCGGCGGTGCTCAGGAATTACTAAGTGAGGCTTGGGGGACCCTAAGGGATGCCCGGGATGGAACCCAGGTTGGCCACATGCAAGGCAAACGCCCTCCCCGCTGTATTAGTGGTTCAGCCCCTCCTGAAATTTTCTTTTTGGAGACTAGAGGGTTGATGATAACTTAGGGACCCTCGCAGTGGCCAGGAGCGACTTTCTTTCTGCGGCAAAGAGCAAATCCTCAGGGCTGGAGTGATAGCACAGCGGATAGGGCGTTTGTTGTACTCACGGCTGACCAGGGTTCGATCCCCAGCATCCCCAAGGGTCCCCTGAGCACCGCCAGGAGACATTCCTGCGTGCAGAGCCAGGAGGAACCCCTGAGCATCACCGAGAGAGGTTTGACGGCTGCCCCCCTGGGCTGGTGGGACACAGACGCCCTCTCCCACGAGGGATGGGGGAAGGTCTCAAGGCTGCCTGGACCCAAAGCCCCCAGGCATGACCCTGGAGACCAGGAGATGGGTCTGGCTGCGGGGAGAGTGATGATCTGGTGGTTCCTTCCTCCTGTGCTCCCAATTTTTCCCACTCAAAAAACTTGGGGGACCACTTGGGAGAATGACTTCTTCACTTTGGGCACCCACATGGTTAAGACAGAACCCCCTCCGTGAAATGGGATTCAAGGATCCCTTGGTTTATTTTTATTTATTTTTGTTCGGGGACCACTAATGGTGATGCTCAGGGTTCACTCCTGGCTCTGCACTCAGGGATCATTCCTGACAGTGCCCGGGGGACCCTATGGGGTGCCGGGGATCAAACCCGCGTCGGCTGTGTGCAAGACAAACGCCCTCCCCGCTGGACTATGGCTCTCGCCCTACACCCGGAATCTGAGAAATCACAAGCTGCTCACCCACTTAAAACACTGCCACCCCCTCTAACCTCTGGTTGCTATGGGGTCATGCACCAGCTGGACCCTGGCGACCGTCTCTTCCCCGTGGACTGTCCATCCCCACCCATCTGCACCTCCATGTCCACAGCCAAAAAAGGGAGAGGTTGGGGCTGGAGCAATAGCACAGCGGGTAGGGCATTTGCCTTACACGCGGCCAACCCAGGTTCGATTCCCAGCATCCCATATGGACCCCTGAGCACCGCCAGGACTAATTCCTGAGTGCAGAGCCAGGAGTAACCCCTGTGCATCACCAGGTGTGACCCAAAAAAGCAAATAAATATATATATATTTTTAAAGTGAGAGGTTCCAGGTAGGGAAAAGCATCTTTTCCTGCTCCCTACGCCCGGACTCTGGGTCCCAGGCTCCAAGTAAGGAGTGGTACTGCAGCCCTGGGCTGCTGTGGGGCATGGGGTGCTCCTATGGGCTGAGTCCCCCTTACCCCGTCACTTCCCGCTCCATGCCTCAGTGTGGCTAGCAGATGGCCCCTCTGGGCTAAGCCAGGCACCTGCACATCTCAGTCAACTCAACCTGCTTGAACCCAGAGCTCTGTTTCCTGCTGCCCTCGTTTCGACCATGCGCCCTGGAAATGGGGTGTCTGCCTTCCCCCCAACCCTCTGTGGCTTCTGGCATGCGGTTGGTGGGGGGTTGGAGGGTGGTCCCTGCCAATTTCTCCACTTGCAGCTTCCCTGGTTAACACAAATAAGACTCTGAGTGGATAACACGGGAACCAGAGCAGGGTGGGATGGGAGGAGCTTCCCGAAGCTTTCAAGTCCCTGAGCACTGCCCGAGTCAGCGGAGGGTAGTGGGGGAGTGGGGGTAGGGGACACCCACATTGTCTGCTGTCACCTGGGGCCCCTCCCAGCAGGGCTAAGATCCTCTGAATGGGTACCTGTAAGGACTCCGCTACTCTCAGGGGCCATAGAGATAATCCAGCCGGGAGGGCGTCTGCCTTGCACGCAGCCAACGTGGGTTCAACTGAGGTGATTCCTGGCTCTGTGCTGGGGAGCTGACTCCTGGCTCCGTGCTCATGGCTATCTCTGACTCTACTTGGGGTTGACTCCTGGCTCTGTGCTTGGGGCTAATTCCTTGTTCTGTGCTCAGGGCTGACTCCTGGTTCTGTGCTCAGGGCTGTCTCCTGGTTCTGTGCTCAGGGCTGACTCTGGGTTCTGTGCTTGTGGCTGCCTCCAGGTTCTGTGCTCAGGACTGACTCCTGGCTCTGCTTAGGCTGACTCCTGGCTCCATGCTCATGGCTAACTCCTGACTCTACTAGGGGCGGACTCCTGGCTCTGTGCTTGGGGCTGACTCCTGGTTCTGTGCTCGGCGCTGACTCCTGGCGAGCTCAAGGGACAGGTTGTCCTGGTATGGGCGAGAATGAAGCACAGGAGCCCAAATCTGTGATGTTTGCACAGTCAGGTGGGCTGCAGGGGATGGGGGGAGAGTCCCCCACGGATGGAGGGGGTGTGCATGGCCCCGCCCCCTCCCCCGGCTCCTCCTCTCCCCCAGCCAAGTGGACCCCCCATGCCTGGTGGGTGACATGGCGCAGAGTCGGATGCTGAGCGTTTCTGGACCCTCCTGATTCCGCCTCCGGGAAGCCCCCAGGTGTGGGTCCTTCGTTCATTAGGAACCTCCTGATTTTGCACCTGGGGCCAGCCCAGATGCAGCCAATACTGGGACAGCTTATTAAGGACCCCCACGTGAGGGTCTCCAGCGGGTGCCATTTCCAGAGTTTTCCGCGCTGGGAGCTGTCGTACCTCCTGGTCACACACACACAAGCCATGTTCCTGGGGACCCACCCTCCAGGTAAGGTCAGTCTGTGTCATCCTTGGCTGTGAGGGGCTCCCCACCCCGCATATCTCCCTGAACCGAAAGCTGCATCCTTCTCAGAGAGTCTGGGGGCTCAGAGGGGTGCGGTGACTGTCAGGACCCCTGGTCTGTTCATGACTCAGGCTTTAGCCCCCGTGTGACAGATGTGAGGTGGGGGACCCCAGGGGTCAGCTCAAGGGGTCCAGCCTCTGCTCTCTGCTGGCGGCTCGATTGGTTGGGGTGGGGGTAGGGGTCCAACTGGGCCCGAGTCCTGAATTCTGCGGTTTTATAGTGGAGGGGGACAGTTGGGGGGTTGTGGGACCCCGTGTATGCCCCCGGGGTGCTGGTGCCGCCCCAGCACTGCACAGAGACACACCTGGCTCCAGCCCGGTGGGGATTAGAGGTGCGGGTCCATGCAGCACCCAGAGTTAGCATGGGCACCCACAGCCCCGTCCTGAGTCTCGGGGGTGGGGCGGTGGATGGGGAGCTCAGCGCCTGGGGGTCCTCGCCCCTACAACTCCCCCCTCCCCGCCCCCCTCCCCAGGAGTGAGACCTGCCCGGCTGCTGGTGTGGGCCCACATCCACCCTCGCCTCCAGAGGGCGCTGAGGGGTTGCTGGCAGAGAGAATGGGGGGTGTTGGAACCCCCAAGGCTCTGGTGGCCCCCTGGGGGGCAGAGCAGAGGTTGCCTCAGGCCCATGGTGTCACATTTCTTTTTTTTTCTTTCTTTTTTTTTTTTTTTACTGAAACACCATGAGATACAGTTGTAGACTTACAAGTTTTTGTGCTTGGGTTTCAGTTATACAATGATCGAGTACCCATCCCACCACCAGTGTCCATTCTCCACCCTTACCAATCCCAATATCCCTCCCACTTCCCCATCCCCCATCCCACCCTGCCTCTGTGGCAGGGCACTCCCTTTTGTTCTCTCCTTTTGGGTGCTGTGGTTTGCAGAAGAGGCACTGGGTGGCAATCATGTTTGGTCTAGAGTCTACTTTCAGCATGCATCTCCCGTCCTGGGCGGATGTTCCCAGCACCCTTTATTTGGTGCTCCCTTCTCCATCTGAGCTGCCTTTACCCCTAGAGTGTGCGGCTGACCTCGAAGCCATGGAGTGAACCTCCTGGTATCTATCATAGCTGTTCTTGGGTGTTAGTCTCTTATTTTGTTACTTTACGTTACCCAAATGAATGCAATCTTTCTATGTCTATCCCTCTCTTTCTGGCTCATTTCGCTTAGCACGGTATTTTCCATGTAGTACCACTTGTATGTAAATTTCATGACTTCATCTTTTCTAACAGCTACATAGTACTCCATTGTGTAGATGTACCAACGTTTCTTTAACCAGTCATATGTTCTCGGGCGCTCAGGTTTTTTCCATATTCTAGCTATTGTAAAGAGTGCTGCAATGAACAAACAAGTGCAGATGTCACTTCGACTATACTTTTTTGCCTCTCCGGGGTATATTCCCAGAAGTGGTATTGCTGGGTCAAATGGGAGCTG